CAGGGAGATGGCTCAGTAGAATAAGTGCTTGCCTGGCAAGTGCAAGGGCCTGAGTTCAATCCCTGGTTCCACCAAAGAGAGAGAGAGAGAGAGAGAGAGAGAGAGAGAGAGAGAGAGAGAGAGAGAATCAAATGTATAGTTCTCAAAAAGTAAGATATTTATGAATCAAAAAAGTTAGATGAACTATTACTCTGAAACCTATGTTGATAAATTATCAACTGAAGCAAAATAAAAAGATCTAAATATAAAATATTGAAAAGCATATAAAAGACTCATTGGAGTTCATAAAGCTGCAAAACATACATATAAGTGAAATCCAGCTAAGAAAGAACATAAAGAAGAAAACATTTCTAAACAAGAAAATATTGAATATTTTTACATATTGTTGAAAGACATCAGTCTAACAATTCTGAAAGTATTCACCAGCAAAAGAGAGACGGTCAATTAAAACTATATATAGATCAAAATCAACAGATAAAAGGCAAATAATAAGGTTGATAGTAAAACACCTTTATAAATCTAAAGGGCACTAAAAGCGTAATATGTAAGGACTGGTCCTAGGTAACCATCAATCTATAATTTTACACAATCAAAACTGTACACCTAGGGCCAGGGAGATAGCTGAGTAGATTAAGTGCCTGCCTGGCAAGTGCAGGGTTCTGAATTCAATCCCCATTACAGAAAAAAAAGTAATAAAAAAACCTGTACACACAATAAAGCAAACATCAAGCTGATAAATATAAAACATTATACTAAAAGTAAAGAAAATAAACAGACATCACAAGAAAAGAAAATGATTTTTTTTTCAATTTGATAACATGAGATGAAGGTTTTGTTTAGAAAAAACGAGAAGTGACTTAGACAAAAATGGACATTCAAAAAATGAAATTAATTAAGATAAAAATAAATGTCAACATCTATTTATCACAATAATTTTTAAGTCACAGAAAAGATATTTTAAAAGAACTATAAAAGAGTGTTCTGTGAGCTCTAAAGCACTACATTTACTCAAAAGAAGAAAGACTCACCTACTGTAATAGATGTATAAGTCAATGATACTGGAAAAGGCAGAAAGTAAAAAAAGCTTAGTGCATGGTGGCACATCCTAAAGTATGAAGGTGAATTTCAGATAATGATGTCTTTTCTATGAGGTAGTAATATTGATTATCTTAGAACACCTGAGAAGTGGGGCTGGGGAGACAGCTCAGTGGTCTAAGTGCCTACCTGGCAAGCACAAGGACCTGGGTTTGATTCCTCCACAGTGCATACAATGCCAGCCCCAGAACCCCAGGCATGCTGTGACAGCCCCGAAACTGGGTGTGGTGGCACATATCTGTAATCCCAGCAACAAAAACCAATAAAAATAGAATGAAAGGAAGGAAGGGAAGGAAGATAAAAGGGAGGGAAGGAAAATGTGTATCTAAGAAATAATGAAAATGAAACAAAGGTAAAAATTAGATATCTATTTTTAAGATTTGCACCATAGCATATGGTCAGGTCATATGTCTATGTTTAAATATAGAATGAACCAGAGCTTTAAAAATAAAATAAGAATTTCATTTTACAGGGCTCTAATTGAGTGATGGATTCCTGATGCAGAAACAAAATTATTTCAATCACAAGGGCCTTGTTTACTCAACAAGTAAAGATAATGATCATCATGCCTGAAGCTGACTGGTGAGACAATACCATGCTGTCCTGCCTGTGGTGACTCCGCCCTCCACCGATGGGTATAAAAGGCTGTTGTAAGGCAGTGATGTCCAGACACAAGACACCGACTTCCTGCTCCTCAACAGAACAGTCCACTCTTGAGACCATGTGTTACTATGGTAGTTACTATGGCGGCCTGGGCTGTGGCTATGGTGGCCTAGGCTGTGGCTATGGCTGTGGCTATGGCTATGGTGGCTATGGTGGCCTAGGCTGTGGCTATGGCTGTGGCTATGGCTATGGTGGCTATGGTGGCTGTGGTTATGGCTGTTGCCGCCCCCTATGCTGCAGAAGATACTGGTCCTATGGCTTCTACTGAGGAATTCCCACTACTTCTTAGCCTATTGGCTACAACCTGCCATGTTACTGGAACTATCTTCAATTATATTCACATGATAACTTTTTAAGTCTTCAATCTCCAACTATAAACAGGACTGCCTAAAAATAAAATAAACTGTGACATGTCATATTGATCCACCAGTATCCACTGGATTATTAGATAGCTTGTAGAAACATTTCTATGCTATCTTTATAATGATATGTAAAATATGATCATTTTCAATTCTCATTTTTTATATGCAGAGATTCATCATTAAATAAACTATTTTGCATCCCAAGTATTGTTTTCTTATTATTCTGCTACTTTAGTTATTTTGCTTGGGTGATTTGTGTGTGAGTAATCACATTTGTGAAGCTGTGCCATTGTGAGAAAGAAAATAAGAATTTGGGAAGGAAGAGTAGGTATGGCATACAGTGCATGAGGAAGGAGACAGGAAGTTCCTTCCCAAAAATTTAGCTCCTGTAATGAATGGGTAACAAGAAAAAGCTTTTGTAACAGATCACACGTTTTTTATTTGTGACTTTCTTCTCACCTACCTTTTCTCTTCAGCTTTTCGATTCATGTAGGTTTTAAAAATAGTTCTTTCTACAATCAAATCTGTGCTTGCTTCTGACGATTTGAAAAGCTTAGGGCTGGCCACATAACGCAGGGTTTCGATCTCCTGGCCTGGAGTGAGGCCCCGCCCTCAGGA